TTTTTTGCTATAGGGTGTATGTGCTCGCCAGACAGACAGAGAGAGACAGAGAGACAGAAAGCGAGAAATCACCCCTCAGGGGGGATGGCCTTGCAGCAATCCCTTCTCCTCCATCCTCCTCTCGGGATATTGGGCACGCACGCACACACGCCTGGCGTGAGTTTAAGAACCGCAGTTGACTAGAGTCCAGGAACATAGACATTACACCTATAACTGGTCCCGGGGAGTGACTCTTTAATAAATCGAGAATTTCAGTTGGGATGGTGGAGAGGATCTGGGGGTGAGTGGGGAGTATGGGGAGTGACTCTTTAATAAACCTAGAGTTTCAGTTGGGATGGTGGAGAGGTTCTGGGGGTGGGTGGTAGCACAACACCGTGAATGCACTTATTATTTTTTTAAGAGAGATTTTTTTGCTATAGGGTATGTGTGCTCGCCAGAGAGACAGAGAGAGACAGACAGAGAAAGTGAGAAATCCCCCCCCCCCCAGGGGGATGGTCACGCTGCAATCCCTATTTCTCCATTCCCCTCTCGGGATCTTGGGCACATGCACACATGCCTGGCGTGAGTTTAAGCCTCCGGGTCCAGGACTTGAACTGCAGTCCACTATGTAGGAGTCCAGCAACATAACCATTATGCCTCATGCTGATCCTGCATTAATTGTTATCGCTGAAGGGCCTGTGTACTCATCAAAGAGACAGAGAGAGAGAGAGAGCGGGAACTCCAGTGGGGCGTGGTCACATCCCAGTCCTTATTCCTCCATTCTCCAGCCCATCTAGATTTGGGTCATGTGCACACACACACACACACTCTCTCTCTCTCTCAGTGTGATTTTCAAGCTGCTGGAGTTGGGATTCGAACTGTGGTCAGCCATGTGAGATCTGGCTCCTATGCATAGGGCTTAACAACTGTGCCATAGGCCCACCCTCATGAACGTATTTAATGCCATTGAACTGGATATTTAACAATGGTTAAACTGGTACATACGTTTGTTGCATATGTTGTAACACACACGTGCACACACATGCAGATGTGTGCACAAATGCATGCGAAGAGAAAAAGACATAAAAGGGGAGTCTATGTGAAGCCCCGGGAGGACAGCATCTGAAAGCTGAGGAAGCCAAAGGTCCTACAAACCCCGAAACCACGGGAGAGGCCTGGGACAGATCCCCCCTCCTGGCCTCAGAAGAGCCAGCCAACCCAGACCTTGACCCCAAGCTTCTGGCCTCCAGAACTGTGGGAGACTCGCCTCCTGTCGGTCAGCGCCTGCTCTGCGGCGTTTTGTCCGAGTCCCAGCAAACACGCCATGCCTCTCCGTGGCTCATTTCTGCTTGGCTCTCTGTAGGCCCTCCCCTCCCCGCCGGAGTTCAGGCCAGAAGAGGGAGAAGAAGCTGTTGTCGTGACTCTTCTTGTGTTTGGGGTCTTCCCTCCTTGGCTCTCTGTAGGCCCTCCCCTCCCCGCCTCGCCTGCTCTGTCCCCTATAATGCCCCTGGTTCAGCGCGTCTCCCACGGTCTCCCACGCTAGCCTGTTCTCCACGCCATCCCTCCTGTGTCCTCTGACCCTGGCACGTGCGTGCTCCCCGCGGGTCTGGGAAGGAGGAGGAAGCTGTGTCTCTCTCCATTTTTGGTCAGAGCTGCTGTAACAGAATGTCTGTGCTTCGAGTAAGCGGAGGTACCAGCACCCCGCCCATGACCTCCCAGCTGCTCAGGGCCCCTCCTGGGTAAGGGTGGGTGCTATTGCAGAAAGTTTCACTGAGACTGTTAAAGCAATCCTGGCATTCTGGGGTCGGGGGGGACCCTGGGGGACAACATATGTTCCTGGGTCCTCTGAGCATGGACTTGGTATTGCTCAGGAGTAGAAAGGGCAAGGAGGGAGGCAGAACTGGAAACTGGATGGGGAGCAGGAAGTGAAAGAGTAGCTATTGGAGCACATGTACCCTTGGCCGCTCTGCTTGTCTGAGTGGGACCAAAAAAAAAGAAAAAAGGAAAAAAAAGAAAAGAAAAAAGAAAAGCAGGGGGTAGGGACTAAGAGAAAACAGAAAACAAAAGTCTTCTCTTCTCCTCTCTTCTGTTCATTGATTCAGCGAATACTTATGGGCTGACCATGAGGCTGGTACAGTAACTAGGCCAAGGACGGAGGATGAATGGACACAATCCCAGACTCAAGGAGCTCAGAGCCTGCACAGGAGCGAGACAACGGTCCCAGGACAGAGCGGTGCCGCTCCCGTGAGGCCGGTGTAGACAGCCGTGGGAGCAGAGGAGGTCCTCTGAGTGGGAGACTCCACGAGAGCTTGGCGAAGGAGGGTCCCTCAGAGAAAGGCCTTGAAGAATGAACAGGAGTTCGACATCTGAATAAGGGGCGGAAGTAGAGGGTGGGGAAAGCAGAGGGAATAGTCCCTCGTAAGGCAAGAAGTTGCGAAAGGGCTTGTGGGTCACTGGCCCTGCATGTGGAGGTGGTGGGAGGTGACTAATGGGACCAAGGTCACAGGGAGAGCGTGACTGGCCAGGGCGGTATTGGGTGTACCTCACTTGAGAGCTCGAGCCTGCTCTGAGAGCGAGGGGGGTGAACACTGGCCTGGAGCAGACGTGTTGGGCATTTCCTGCTGGCCAGCATCCCTGCCCATCCCCTCCCTCCCCTCCCCTGACCTTCCGTGT